AGCTTCCACAACAAGTACAGCCACGGGTGGGACAGCTGCTTCTCATTACTCCCAGTCATCGGAAGCTCTTTGGTGACCGGTTGTGGAACCTCTAGACACCCTCAGACACGTGGACATGTCAGTCCTCTGGAGTCACCGACGTCACGCTGCAGTAGCTACCCAGCCCGCTGTGAGCCCTTCGCACACAGCCTAGGTAGGCATGTCAGTCCGATACATTTTCTATCTAGCGATCGCATGAGGTGCTGGTGTATCAGTCCCGGTTCGACTGCTTGTGTGTTCAGAGTGTGACAAGGTGACGGCCATTCGTCCGAACTGTCTGCCCTGGCTCAGGGAGCCAAAAGACCTTAGCCTGTCCGGGCTGAACAGTGTGACGAACGTCACTCTAGACCGAATACACGGGTCCCGCCTGAGTGAACTGGACCTGAAGAGTGTGGCGAATGCGACTGCCACTGTATGTGTTCCTGTTAAGCTCTTCTTCTCGCCTATATATGACATGTTCTGACCAAAAGACGTCACTGCTGAGTCTGTTAAAGGCCATTCTGATCTGCAGAAGGACTGTTATTTATGGTGGAGGCCTCATTTCTGCCTGTAGAGACCTTTTCTGATCTGCTCATGGCCCACCAGCTGTGGAGGGCCTGTTCTGGCCTGTATGGTCTATACTGGTCTGCGAAGCGTCCATTCTGCCTTAAGACTCCATTCTGGCCTTTATTAAGCCCACTCTGGCCTTAAAATGGCCATTCTGGCCTATAGATGGCCCATTCTGACCTGCAGAAGGCATGCTGCTGGACCTGTTACTGCTGCAAAACCTGGCAGACAGATGTCCTGGCCCCTTGCATCGCTACTGCCCATTCTTGTGTGGAAGGCGGTGGACAATTTGTGAGCCTCAGGTCCGAGCTGATGCCCACCACGGCTGAGTGCGTGTGTTGCGGCATGGAGCCCTGCGTTCTGACGGACCAGGTATGATTGGTACTTGGTCAGGCATGGTAAATGTTTCATTATGCGTTATTCTGGAAATGACCGCCCACTTACTGAACATTTAGACATCGCATTTGAGGTGTGCAGTGTCGCATACGCTATGTTCTTATTTTGAGACAATTTTAATTCGACGGAAGGCAGATTACATAACTGATCCAACTGCTGTTGTTGTATTCCATGATTAAAATAATTATCTTGCTTGATGCCGCCGAAGCTGCCGAAGTGCCTTACGAAGATCTCCCACACCTGTCGGCGTGTCTACGGGTTAACGCACCGCCCTGAGCCGTGACCGTTCACCTCACTCAGACATCAATTATCGCCCCACTTGGCTTACATGTTGACACACTGTTCCCGGCATGATCAACTGCCACAATTGTTCCAATCTGTACTAGGTGATTTGGGCCATACAAGCATCTATTAAGCATATGCTTGCACTGTTCGCCTTCTGTGCGGCAGCAAATGCAGCTGGTCTGTCTGAACGAAGCAGCAGTCACGGTTGGCATGTTGTTGTACGCCGACCTGCGCGCCCAGCCGGCCAGCCCTCTCCTGCGGGCGGACGAGCCTGGTGCCTTCAACCGACCGCTGCGGTACCAGACGTACCGTCAGTTCATCCTGAGGAGGTTTGTGAATGGCTGGTACAGCCAAAGGCACCATGATGACAGTAGGTTTTGTTCTATTGATAAAATTTACCTTGCATTTTCTAACTGATATAGCCGGATACAGCCATTGTGATGCAACGGTGGGAACGTCATAACCGAGTTGTTGGCACGTCAGACTCTCACTGGGGGGAGAAAGACGGGTTGATATCCCGTTACGCCGTAGGCCCTGGCTGGGGGGGAGAGGGGGGGGGAGAGGGGGGGGGGGAGAGAAAGAGGGTTCAAATCCCGTTATGCCGTAGGCCCAGAACACTAATACAGCCAATGCAATCGCTGATGCTCCATGCCAGGGACATGACGACATGTGGCGTACCTGTTCCTTTGAGTGAAAAAGTCATGTAACGGCAGATATCACCCCGTAACCCATCCCCGTATAACGGTGTTACGTGTTTAGTTGTTACCGCTCAACCGTAAATAACCCGCTGCGCTCCAATTTTAGAGGCATGTGGTGATGCCCTGCCGCCCCGGCTGTCGGCTGATAGGGCCGGCTCGGCCGAGGCGGCTGATAGGGCCGGCTCGGCCGAGGCCTGCGCCGGCCGGTTCCGGCCTCGTTGTTTCTGTCATCCGACGCTAGTGGCCGGACCCGACCGGCAATAACGTCCGTTTCCCGTTCCTGGATGCCGTCCTTTGAGTACGAAGAGCAATGCACAGGGACGGAACCAACAAAGTCTTTCATCGTAGCTTAGCTCAGATAATGTTCTATGTTAACCCAGATAGCCAGAGTGTGACGAATGCGGTTGTAGAAATCTTGATCATTAACCTTACTTATTGCGTCCCCACATTCCTTATCATTTGCCACAACTCTGTTGGACTGAAGTGTGTGCGAAGAACTGAACAACGACGCATGGATGCGACCACCAAGTGCTATGTGGTATTTCACGGAAAGGACTGGCGCGAAGCGCTGGCCAGCAACGCTAGATCCTTACATTTTTACGTTTAATGCGTCATTTACCCATCGTCGCGCTGGAATGACCTGCCGCTGTAGCGTGCTGATATACACACCCCGATCCCAGCCCGCTCTTCTTCACGAACTGATCTCAACGCTGAACAAAATGAGTAACAAACAGTCGGCCGTGTCACCCAAATACTGCACTGTGCTGTCGGCTCCCCTTATTTCACGGTGGCGCGCACTCGTTTGCTCAGGGCACCCCTGTATATACAGCATGCTATACCGTCTAGCGCGTAACATATTCAAAACTGAAACCAGCATGACCATCCTGTCCGGCTCGCAGGACATCTGGAAGAAGTGGACCTGACCCGCTTCGGTGCGAAACCACAGCCTCTGGAGAGTCTGTGCACCAGGTGTCTCTGGCTGGAGGCCGTCACACTGCCTCACAAAATCTACTCAGCCTACGCGGCGATGATGTTATTCAATCTGCAAGCTCTGCGAAATCTCGACAAGCAATACCGCCACGCGCCGGGAAACTGCCTCTCGCTACTCCTAGAGTCACACCGATATGCTTGCGAAGGCCCGAAAAGAAGTACAACCGCATGCAGGGCAACTGCCTCTTGCTGCTTCCAGAGTCACCTTTATGCTTCGTGACAGGGTGACGGCCATTCGTCTGAACTGCCTGTTCTGGTGCAGGGAGCCAAGTGACCTTAACCTGTCCCGGCTGAACGATGTGACAGACGTCACTCTAGACCGAATACACGGGTCCCGGCTGAGTAAACTGGACCTGAAGAGTGTAACGAATACGGCTGTAGAAGTCGTATCATTTATCTTTCTTATTGTGTCCAATGCCCTTGATCATTTGCCACAACTTTGTTGAGCTGAAAAGTGTGCGTAGAACTGAACCACGACGCATGGACACGACCACTAAGTGCTATGTGGTATTTCGCGGTAAGGACTGGCGCAAAGCGCTGGCCAGCAACGCGAAATCCTTACATTTTTACGTTTAATGCGTCATTTACCCATCGTCGCGCTGGAATGACCTGCCGCGGCAGCGTGCTGATATACACACCCCGTTCCCAGCTCGCTCATCTTCACGAGCTAACCTCAACCCTGAACAAAATGAGTACCCTCTCGCCGGCACTCGTGAGCGCGGCTACCTTGGCCCACGAGGATCACGTGAGCCTGCGAGAGTTGGCTGTCGCCGCCTCGCATCATTGTCCGGGGGCCGCCAATGGCTTGCTTGCACTGAAACCCGCCGCATACTTAAGGGCGTGTTACGCGTCGAACCGCAGGCTCCTCAGAGGAACTTGTAAGTTGTGTGTCGCCGCTCCTTCTACCACAGTGATCAAGCTGAGCTGGCCTTTAAAAAAAAAACATGAGAAAATCGCATGAGCTCGTGCTTTTAATGGATTCGAGGACTGACTCGAGGACATGAAAACAGTCGGCCGTGTTACCCAATTATTGCACTGTGCCATCGCCTCCCATCCTTTCACGGTCGCGCGCGCTCTCGTTTGGGCAGGGCAACCCTTATCTATTCGGGCCATCCGCATCTCTCCTCAAGTTCCACGCAAGGCCCATGACCTTCCCAACGAAAAACCGGGCCTCCATCACCCGCCAGGAACGCCTGTCCTTATCATCCAATTTTCTATTGTGAAATAGCGAGTCTACCCCTCGCTATGCCTGGCCGGCCATGTCAAGCACTGTCCTCGCGAGACAGGCGGCGCCTGGGCCTGGAATCGACCGCCTCCGCGCCTTGTGGCATGTCGTATCCTCAGAACTAACGAACGCGCGAATTTCCACACCGCCACTTAGGCTCTTAAACTTCAATTTCTTGTCGCCATACCTCCACTAGACCAAGCGTGGCCGACGCCGCTCCATCAAGCGCCCACCCTGGCTTTGGAGTGTCCCTGCCATTCGATCTGGAGCAGGACGCCTGGGACCTAAGAGCCGGCACGTGCCCCTGCTGCCACCGCCCGTTTGACGCGTAACAGTTGAGATGAATCTCGCCACTCCTCTCCTCCGAACCACTGCTCGCCGGCGATGTCCGCGCAGCCCCGAAGCTCGGCTGGCTGATCGTAGCTGAGGAACTCGGCTTCCTATAAAGACTGCCTCCGTCATCGGGCCGGCGCATTTCCTTCAGTTTCGCCGGCTGCACCGCTGAACACGTCCGCCTGGGCCCATTGCGGCCTGTATGGGCTGCGGTGCCCAAATCAGCCCACCTCCGGCGCGAACCTGCGTGTCGCAGGCTGCGAGGCCGTCGCCGCGGTACGTCGAGTGGACGCATTATTGTCGTTGAGCGAATACAGCTTCTGATGAGGGACCCGGGTCCGTGCATCATCGGTCGGAAGTTACACCTTGAAAGGTGTAAGGTTGAACTTAAAATCTCGCTGCTATTGGCGCATCCAGTGTCTGCCCCTGGCGCCGTGCCATGCCAGCTCCCCTGACGTCAGCACCCCCCCCCCCCCTCATTCACCTCCCCTATCAACACGGGCGGCAGTAAATTCCAGTGCCCACATCGAAAGCTTCAGAAATCCCCGAGTGACCTCACTCACTTTTGCCGCTGCGTCAGCTCTGTCCGAGAGGTCACCGAGCCTCTGATTCCCATCCAACACTGTTAGAGCTATCTGAAGTAAACGCCGCTCCTGCTCGCTAAATTTGTCGGCAGACTTATTTAGGAAGGTCAGCTGCCTCTCCACTGCATGCGCAATTTTTCATCAAATTCGTCCACCGTACTCGCCCATCTTTGGGTGTCTAATTTTCCAGTAAATCGCTGAGCTGAACACACTAGCCACCGTCCCCTGACTCTGTCTCGCTGGATCCATCGGATTCTCTGCCGGTAGATAAATGGCCTTCGGCACGGCGTTTTTCTCGCTGGCTCGGGAAGCCCAGGCCGGCCGCCGGCCACATATCTGCTCACCCACTGGCTTAGAGAACTGCGTGAGGCACCGTGTGTAAAGAGCGCCTGAAGAGAGGACACGGGCGCGTCGTGAGGAGCACCAAGTGCGGACACAGACGCGTCGTGAGGGGCGCCGGAAAAGAGGACGCAGACGCATCGTGAGGAGTGCCAGAAGGGCGCACACAGCCGCGTCGCGAGGAGCACCGGAAGAGCGAACAAAGACGAGTCGTGAGGAACACCGGAAGAGCGGACACAGACGCGTCGTGAGGAGCACCGGAAGGGCGAACAGGCGCGTCGTGAGGAACGCCGGAAGAGACGACACACTCACGGTTCTGGAAAATCAAACAGCTGCTTTGACGGAGCGCGTCAGTATGTTCCCACACTGTCCGGCTCGAAGGAGGACTTGTCAGAAGTGCCAAAAAAAGACCGAATTTGAACAGCTTCTGTACCAAAGCATGCCCCACAGCGTAAGCGCGCGTTTGTTCGGAACAATGGGAGTGCACGACCGGGGTCGACCATAATCGGGAAGGGCGAAGGGGAGGGGGGGGGGGGCATCCCCGACGGGCATGGCACAAAACCCCTCCAAAGCCAGCCAGTGGGAGACGTAGGCCTGTTGTGCTCCTGCTCTCCCATCTGAGGCGAACCAGCTGCACGTCTGTCCTAGCCGCCGCGGTCACAAATGGCCGGACCATGCTGTCCAAGAGGGCAGTCTAGTCAACCCGAGATGTGGAAGTTGTTGACAAAGCTTGGTTATCGCTCGAGTCCTCACCACGCCAGCCCGTATCAAACCTCCGCACGGTTTAAGGAGAAATGGCCCCCATTAGGACACGAATACTCTGGTTACTTGCACACGTCTGCTTCCGGGCGCGGTGCCGCATGAATGCCCAAGCCTTCGTGTTGAAACATGTGCGCACGCCAGAGAGTTGCTAGCATCGTGACCTCTTGCATCATCCGAACAGCCAGTGCGCCGCGCAATACAAGAAACAACTGGAGTGTGACAACACCTGGCGGCGTCCTGCTGGGCTCCGGCGGCTCCGGCTCCTGCTTCGACGGCGACGGCGGCGGCGGCGACTCGCGGCAGGCGCGTCGGCGTCGCTCACTGGTTGAGGATCGGGTAAAACGCCGTGCCGCCGCTCGGGTCGACGGCCGGAATGAGGATCACGCTGCGGCCCAACTGCGCCAGCTCCTGCACGTGCAGCGTCTGTGCCGGCGCCGCCACCTGCACCGGCTGCAGCTGGAGAGGAGTGGCCAGCGGTCAGGCACTGGCGAGGCCGCGTCTGCGTGGGCGATACCGCTCAGATGTCGAAGGAAAACACGGAGGGTCACTACCGTGCACAGCTCGTTACAACTGCCACAAGCGACAGCAGACAAGAGTGGCCGCGGTTTACCATCCCAGCCAGCTTCCCGGCTGTGCAGAGGCGAGTGCCGGACGCCGGCCACCTTCACAGATCGCAGGCAGCCCGCCTTAACCGAACCACTGGTGGTGCCGATCGTGGCGTTGATCCCTCAGCCCCCCCCCCCCCCCCCCACCCCCCAGCCGAATATACACAAAGCTCGCCGACGTTTCCACAGTCCAGCCGCCCCGGGAGCCACTCCGCCCACCTGAACATTGTGCATGGACTGCTGGACGGCGGCCGCCAGCGACACGTCCTGCTGCTGCTGCTGCTGCTGAGGCAGAGGAGGCGGCTGGGCCTGCGGTGGCAGCTCCGGCTCCGGCTCGGGCCCCTGCTGTGGCTCCGGATCCGGCTCCGGATCCGGCTCGGGCTCCGGCTCGGGCTCCGGCTGCGGCGCGTCCGGCGGCTCCGTCTCGGCCGGCGGCAGCGGCCGCAGCAGGGCCGACACCGGCTGGATGGTGTGCGTCCGGTTCACCATGTCCACGCTGTGCACGCGCCTGTCGGCAGCCGCCCGGCCATCAGCGCGGCGCCGGCGAGCGCGATGGGAAGTGAGGACAGGGTCGTCCAGGCGCCCGACACCACGACCGATTCAACACACGCAGACGCACGCGTGATGATTCTCTATGAACAAAGCAGGGGCATGACAGTCGAGCGTGAAGCCATACAAGTTTCCGACGGATCCCACGTCAACGCCTCCAAAAAGGCGTCACGTTTTCACTGTCCACATTAGCGCGATCGCAATGACGTCGTAAGACGCTCGCCACGCGCACCGCCAGCCGACATGGGCCGTCGCCGTCGCCGCCGCTGCTGACCAGTCAGCCGTGGGCAGCGGCCGGTCCGCCACCGTCCACTGACCTGAGATGCGCGCGCAGGTCGCAGCTGGCTGCGTACATCTTGTCGCACATCACGCAGCGGAAGCGTTTCTCGCCGCGGTGCCGCCGCAGGTGGTCGTTTAGCTTGCACTGCTGGCTGAAGGCCATCGGACAGAGCGTGCAGCTGTACGGCTTCTCGCCTGCGGCAGCACACCAGGGATAGTCAGCGCGCGGTAGGCGACGGCTATCGAGTACGGCCGGTTAATATTGATGTCAGCGAGCGTCCTGCGGCGCTGGATGATGCCGGCCTGGCTATCAGATTATGTTTATTTGTGTAGCGGATCAAACACTTCTGTCTTAACGTTCCATATGTTTGTTTTAACAGATCCCAACGCACTTTGACATACTCCAGGGATCGCATCGTATGCTAAACACAGCAGCAGCAGCCCGCCGTTTTACCTCGCCGCTGCAGACTTGAAGAAAGCGGCCGAGAAAACTGATGGTGACTTGCCGGTAGAACGCGGGATTCAACATACACCGAACGTCAACGCTTCTCTGCGGCGCTCTCTCCATGCCTTGCCGCAGCGCAGCGCGCGGCCGCCGACTGACCTGTGTGGATCCTGGCGTGGTTGCGCAGCCGGTCCTGGCGGGCGAACGCCTTGCCGCACACCGAGCAGCGGTGCGTCGGCTTCTGGTGCACCGACACCACGTGCACGTTCAGCGCGCTGGACGAGCCCAGCCGGGCGCCGCACACCTGCCGCGCGGGGACCAGTGAGCCGACGCGAGCGTCCCGGGCAGAGTCAGATTAGCGAGAAAACAGGCAGGGCGTGCCTGGGTCCTATCTGGGCTATCCCAACGTTGAGCAAATATGTAGTAGATGCGTTTCACGCTATCAAGTGCACACATACGTTCCACGCTATTGGAGTCCGGTCCACGCTCCTTCAAGCCACGCCTTAACAAACACACACGATAACAAGTACAAACAGCATTATCTAGCACGCCAAGCAGCTTTGCATCAAGGCAGCCACCAACGGCCGGCCAGGCCCGCGTTTGCCCCCCCCCCCCCCCCCCCCCCCCCCTCTCATCCATCCCACTCACATCACAGACAAAGTCCCTGCGCAGCGTGTCGTGGTGGAAGCGCAGCTTGTGATGCGTCAGGTAGATCTTCTTGATGAACTTCTTGTCGCAGGCGTCGCAGCCGTACGGCTGGGCGGGGCCGCGCGACGCGTGCTGGCGCACCAGGTGCTTCTGGAAGGCGGCGTTGCGCCGGAAGCCCTGTGCGCAGCCGGGCGCCGGGCAGAAGAACAGCGCCTGGTCGCGGTCCCTGCCGACGGCGGCGGCGGCCGTCTCACAGAGCGCATGTGGGGCGAGCGACGCTGGCCACCGGACACGGCAGGGGTTCGTCTCTGGACTGCGACAGCGCCAACTCTTCAACCCACCCAGGGCGTGATTCCACTGCGATCTTTGGAAGCAAGCCAACGCTCTGCTTTTAGCTGCTCTATTGCATCATAACGATGCATCTCCAGAATCCCTGGCGTGAACCCAGTGATCACGGAAGCAGAGCGACACCACAGGTGAGGCTCGACAAGTAATAATTCCCCAGACCGCACCCCAGATGGCGCAGTTCCCCCCCCCCCCTGCCCGCCTGTCAGACTGGTGGTCACCAGAGCACTGACCTGTGCCGGGTCATCTTGTGCCGCACCAGCTGGCGCCCGGTGCGGCACATCTCGCCGCACAGCTGGCACGGGTAAGGCGGCGGGCCGCAGTACTGCAGGTGCACGCGGAAGATATCCACGTTGCGAAACTCCTCGTCGCATTGGTGGCAGACGAAGCGGTGCAGCTGGGTCAGTTCGGCGCCCGAGAGCATCAGCACGCCGCGGCGGATCAGCTCCTGGAAATCAGGTCCGGTCAGGTCCGGTCAGGTCAGGTCAGGTCAGGTCAGGTCGGCACGACACGACGGGTCGGCTCCCGAGGTTCAGGCCAGGTCCGGTGATGTCGCCACGAGACAACATACGAACCCCGCGGCTAATCTTCTGGCTGGATTAGGCCAGGCCAGGTGATCCGCCTCGAACACCAACACCACCGGTGCGTCGCAGCACCACGCCGCCGGAGAGCCGCGCCGCCCACCTGCACGACGCCGCCGCCGTCGGCGTACTGGCAGGCGTGCACGCCCAGCTGCTCGGCGCCCGGGAAGCAGCCGTGACAGAGTCGGCACATGACGAACGGCGAGCCGGCCGCCGCCGCCGCCGGCGCCGGGCGCGCACTGTCGTGGTTCGCCTGCCGGACACGGGACGCCGCCGTCATGGGAGTGGCGCGCTCTTTCCGCCGGCTGAGTGTGGCATGGGCTATCGCGGCAGGGATTATCCGTTAAGTGGCGAGGGCCCGGTGCACCGCTCATAACTTCATGGATTCTGGCGCTTACCACAGCCGTTCATGCAGTGGTGGACGGGTTCGTTACACTCCCCACAATGGGCGAGCACCGTTTCACTTTTGTTATTGTTTATGGGTGTTGTAGGGCGCTCCGGCTGCAATCGTTATCTAGCGCCCATAGCACTGCTTTACGTCGTTGGCCGCTTCTTCACCATCCGACTGACACAGTACGACCATGCGACAGCCGCAATGGGCGGGTAAGCTTCTGCTGCTAACCCACTCAAAAGAACAAGGCGCGAAAGCGGACGTCAAATCCACCTGAGCACCGCAGACACCGGTCCGCCAGACGCCCACGCCACCGGTCCCGGCGCGGACCGCGCCCCTGACTTACCACGATGTGGGCGGCCAGCTCGCCGGGCCGCTTCTGGACGGCCCGGCAGATCGGGCAGATGTACTCGGGGTAGCCGCGGCCGGCGCGCTGGCCGTGCTGGGCCGCCAGGTGCATGCGCCGGCTCTTCTCGGACGGGAACAGGCGGGCGCCGCCGGACCTGCCCGGCAGCGGCCGGCGACGTTAGCGGCTGCGCGCGGTGGCAGGCACACTGGTCGGATGTCTGGGTCCGTCGAGGCGAGGAGCCTGTCCTACGCGGCACTGTTACGGTGCGAGTTTACAAGGCGCAAAGCTGTTCAGTGGATGGCAAGGGCATATGCTTCAAAGAACGTGGATTGCTGCGAGAAAGCTGGCCCGGCCTCAGAGGGCATGCTTGATGGAGTAAGGGTTGCAGAGAGAGATATAACTCAGCACACAAGGGTACCTAATGAGCGGAAGTTAGATGGATAGTGGGTACAGTACCGCGTATCATGAGATGTGGCGTGAGCAGTGATAAGACCTGAAGACTACCAAAATGCTTTGGTAACCGCAGCCCGCAGCGCCGGTGAAAACCCACCGCAACTTTGTCGCAGATTTATGTGAGAGACAAAACCATCCAGCCATGCAGCAATGGATTCCCATCATTTCGAGGTGGGAATGGCATGACGGCATCAGCGTCACGGGGTTCTCTCCAATAAACTAGGACTGGGAGCCCGCAGCGCCAGCGTCATGTCTCGGCTGTGTCTAGCACGCCGTCGACAACCGCATGACCAACAAATGCGTCCTGTGATTCTCAGGCGCCGACGCCTCGCACCGGGCGATGGCCGGCGCGTACCTTCCCTTGCAGCCGGCCGTGCACGGGAACCGCTCGGCGGCGTCCTCCGCCGGCCAGTCGTCGTCGTTGTCGACGCCGCCGCCGGTGCCGCCGTCCTTGCCGCCGTCGTCGCTGTCGCCGCCATCGTCCCGCCCAGCCGAGGGTTCAGGACTGGCGGACGGTTCCGCCAACGGCGAATCCGGATCATCGCCGTCCTCCGACGGCGGCCGCTCGCAGGGTGCGCCGCCCACTTCTGCGGGGACCAATGACGGGTCGGTGAGCTCGGCAGCCAGCCAATCAGGGGTAGGCGATCCGCGAGGTAGAACGAATGCCAGCTATACATTGGTGAAGTGAGCAGAATATCAGTCAATTACCAGTCAGCCCAGCAGGAGACCAACCAGAGGATGGTAAGATTGGAAAGAGATAAATCAAGAGACACGAACGCGCCGAATATTTCATGTCGCAAGGACACTGCGCATTCACACTAGTGATAAAACGGAAAAATGCAGTTGACCCCAAATGCTGCATGCATATATCTACCTGTACACCTTTGTGTAATCAACATCTTAAGTGGCTGCAGGTGGAAAATTAATTGTGTGGAGCAGGCACTGTCGTCAGGCATTAACTTTCTCACCTGATTGGATGCTTGTAGGATTTTCATTTCCTGCCTTGCTACTATGGTCAGAATGTTTACAGTCCACTAGCTGACGAAGTGCCTGCAAAAAAGAACAAACTAAATGGTGTGATATGAGGAAGCTGACAGAAAAATCAAATAGCTGGAAAGTTTTGGAAAATACCACAAAAGCAATGACAACACAAAATCAGAACAAAAGTTTGCCATGTATTGCTGTCAAGCTGTGCTGAACCCATAAACAATAAACACAAGCTTCCAATGACCCAACAGTTGTATGTGCTCAAGTTGTATGACCCATTTGAGAATGACAATAAATAATCATCACAAAACATCTGGACTGTTTAGCTCAATGTCATGACTTATTATTTCAATTTGTTCATTTATTTCCCCTGAAGCTACCATTTACTAGATGATGATGATGGTGATGATGATGATATCATCATCACCATCATCAGGTTGAACAGAGCTTTGACTGTCTTGATCACTTTGCACTCACAGGTTCAGCAAAAGCATTCCACAGGTCACCACCTGTGTCATTAAAATGAGTTGAAACCATTTTGAGCACTAAACTAATGCAATCCCCCACTGAGATGTACACACATACAGTCACTAGCACAAATCAGGGGTGACATTGTACCTGGTCACAATAAGTCACTACATTATCCACAAGCCTCCAAGCCAAGTCAGCCTTCTGATGAATGTCATAGCCTTGGTGGTGCCCCAGCCTGCTCACACTCACCTGCAGACAGGTGTCCAGACACAGCAGGTGCTCCTGAATGACTGACCACTCTTCCTTTTCTGGCAGGAAGTGGCCATCCAGCTTGCTGGAGAACTGGATCTCCATGTCCATGATTGCCAAAAAGCAGTCCTGTGTAGGTTATTTCTAGTCAGAGGGTCACCTGCCACTCAACTCTTCCTTATGGGAGACTGCACCATGGGCACCATCATATGTGATTTTGCACAAAAGCTATCACTATTTCTAATAAGAAGGTCACCTGCTCCTTCTCACTTTCTTATGAGAGACTGCACCACAGGCACCATCCTATTGCAATACTTTATATCCAATTTAAAAGTTTGAGAGGATTAAAGTATGGATTGCAGCATGCTGCACAGAACCCATTACAACCAAAGTAGTAAGCCAAGGAGCAAACATTTACCATCACATATGCTGTCCGACAATATTCTCAGCCAACAGCCGCAGCCTTTTCAGTTAAATATGCCATCAAATCCAAGGCTGTGTAGAGGATCCCTGCTTGCAATAGCATACTTACCAACTGACCAAGGTTTTTCACAGCCTGGAGAAGCTTTTCCAACATAGACCATATTGAGGTGCCATGGAGCATTGTGGTATTCACCTCCAATTTTGAGCCTGGTGCTTTCAATCCAGCTGTCCATGGCTTTATTGATGAATTTCTTATATGTTGTGGTGTAAGGAATTCTTGGTTTGATATGTTTTGACATGAAGAGTCAAGCATACTCTGCAATCTTTTTGCAGATTTCTTTTCAGGTATTTTAGCTTTTGTAAATGTTTTTGGCTTGATACATTTTGAACCACATGTCTTGGATGTTGATGAAGTCCTCTTATTTTTCTCACAATGAGCCATAGTTCTGAGGTTTACTTTACCAGATTTCTGTTTCACTAAGGACTTCATTTTTTTCCCTGAATGGGCCTTCTTCTGAACTTGATTGGCAGATTTTTTCATCCTTTTGCAGTCTGGCTGCTCTTTGCAGATCAATACTGAATGTCATGTACCTTGGCAGGAGCTTGAGTTGAATGTTGTCTGAGCTATCAAACATGCAGCACAATCTGTCACACTGTCTTGTTCTGTGGATTGAATGACCGCATTAGGTTCATCTGAACAATGGTGTGCAGTGGCAAAGTGCTCAAAAAGGCAAGTAAGGCTTACCTCACTGACAAGTAGGTAATAAGAAATAGTAAGATGGTTACAGCTATAAGTTTAGTGTAAGTTGCATTCCTTGTCTGGCCTAGTCAGCAAGGAGCTACTTACCAGCCAGCAGGCACAAATAAAAAATGACAGCAAATCATGCCTTACAATTGCACCAATTGTGACAAAGATTAAGGGCTATTTTTTTAGCGAGAACTGGTGATAGCATTATAACAATTTAGAATGCACCAAAGGGTAGAACAGATTACAGGAATAAGGTACAATATTCAGCAAAGGTATACATTGCTACCTAACATTAGAAAGATCACTACACCATTTGTCATGTTTAAGGTGGAACATATCATAAATAATCTTAAAACAGGTATATTCATGCTCCTACCTTCAAACTTTAATATTTACAATAGCGAGCTACCAAGCGCCGCATGCGCCCCACACCACCCCGACTCCCCAACGCCGTTTCTGTGTTGCCGTTGCGTAATTACAATATTTCTGCTTACCAACAACCACAAAAAAATGTATGGGACCAAACAATAATAATGCAATAAAACACATTTCTTATCAGGTCTAGGTATGTTTATGAAATGGACAGGCCAGAATGGTCCAGAACATAGCCTCTCACCTCACCTCACCTCACCTCACCTCATCTCACCTCACCTAACTCACCTCATCTCACCTCACCTAACCTAACCCCCACCCTATCCCCTTAAATCCAGTGTCCCATTGGCATCCACGTTCCTGCCATATATATGTACCTTTAGCCACCATATTCTCATTTTGCTTTTCATTCCCACGCAAAAATGTCATCTTTCCCCACCATGTCGACCAATCTACAAACAATACAGAAGACTGCTTGGATACGCAAGAAACACATTTTATTGAATTCTTGTTACCTTGGCCACATACATTTTTATGGTTCTTGATGTGTAGTAATGTTGTGATCGGCAGTAATGTTGCGATCATGCGTAGAAATGGCGCCGGGGTCATGGTTGCTGCGTGTGTGCGCTCGGATGTCCGCTATCGTAGTTATTTAAGTTCCAAGGTAACAGCTGAGATGACCTGTTTTATGATAAATTATGATATGTTCTGCCTTAAAAACAAAGACTGATGTACAATGCTCTTTCTTAACATAAGTTAGCAATGTATACTCTGACCCAATATTCAATGGATATTCATGACATATTCACATTTTCAGAATGTGTAACACAATATGTAATTGTCCACTAACTTTGTTAGGTTATGATCATGAAAGCACAGAAAATATGTGGAATGGGTGGCATATAAAGCATGACAAGATTTGAATGCTTTCAGATATCATGAAATACTAGTTTGAAAAAGGAAAACCTTGTTTTCAAGTGCTCAGGGCAGTGTGCAGACATGTGATATGCCAAATGCAATTTGCTTCAAGAGCACCATGCACCACTACTGTACCCAAGGTCTCACTGGAAAGAAATAAGCATTACTTCCTAAGTTCATATCATAACTTGAATGGTGCTGCTCAAAAAGAATTTCATAATTGCTATGGACTTGAGATAGCAGGTAACTAGCCTGTGATCCACTATGAAAAGTGGGTTCTGTCCACTCCAGTTTCATTCAAATAAGCATTCTCTTCATATCAATCTCACTTTGAACAATTATTGTAATGTTAAGTGTTTGTTTGCTTACAGGCGACCATCTGAAAAACTCATCTCACCAAATGCCTGCAACACACAGACATGCTGAACACAAAACAATTCATGTCCATAAAAAATTGTTTCAAGACAATGGTTGTAAAAGGGCTTTAGTTACAACCTTAGGTCATGGTATACATCGCTACCTCATGTAAAAAGGAGCAGCGTACATCGATCTTCGTGTTGCAGATAGAACATATCGTAATTAATCATAAAACAGGTCATCTAAACTCTTATCTTGACACTTGAATAACTATGATACCAAACATCCAAGCCCTGCAGACACACAGCAACTGCGATCCCAGCACCGCTACCATACCTGATCACAACATTACTGCGCATCAAGAACCATAAAAATGTATGGGGCCAAGGCAACAAGAATCCAATGAAATGTTTCTTGCATATCCAAGCAGTCTTCTCTACTGTTTGTGGATTGGTGAACATGGTGGGCAAATGTGACCTCTTTGGGTGGGCAGTGAAAAGCAAAATGAGACTATGGTGGCTAAACAAAACTTCTTAACACAGTACATATATATGACATGGAACATGCATTAGGTTAGGCTTGGTTAGGCTTGGTTAGGCTAGGCTAGGCTAGGCTAGGCTAGGCTAGGCTAGTTAGGTTAGGTTATGTTAGGTTAGGTTAGGTTAGGTTAGGTTAGGTCAGGTTGTTAGGTTAGGTTAAGCTAGGTTAGGTTAGGTTAGGTTAGGTTAGGTTAGGCTAGGTTAGGTTAGATTGGGTTGGGTTGGGCTACGTGAGGCTATGTTGTGGACTATTCTGACCTGTCCACTTCATAAACATACCTACACACAATAGGAAACATGTTTCATTGCATTATTATTGTTAACTTGGCCCCATGCATTTTTTATGGTTCTTGATAAGCGGCAATATTGTAACCATGCAACAATAACACAAACTGTGCTGGTGGGCTGAGGCGGTGGGGTGTGTGCGGGGCTCAGGAGCTCGCTATCATAGTAATTAAAATTTGAAGGTAGGAGCATGAATCTACCTGTTTTATTATGATGTACAATATGTTCCACCTTAAATGAGATGAATGATGTACAATGCTCTTTTCTAACAATAGGTACCAATGTATACCTACACCTAACCTTACTTTCTTAACTTAAGCAGAATATTTTGCACCATCCCTATTCTTTTTCTTCTCAAAACTGCCATGGTACAACCTGATGAGAAAACTGCAGGAATTCCAAGGTGGATTCAAGGCTGCTTCTGCAAACTGCAGAGATTCAGAGGCATCTTGTTTATGTAATATCTACATCTAACAGTCATCATGACAATTTCTGACAAATATGGACAGTGAATTGAGCATATACAGCAGGGCAGCTGCTGGCACATCCACTGGCATATCCTATCCCTTCCAGAAATGGAGACTGGGCCAGGTGAAAGGCCAGTCGGCCTGCAACAACTGGCAGTTCCCATTGAGAGTGGCCAAATTTGAACATTCCACAGGAGAGACACTCATTCCCTCATTTCCACCACCCCCTTTGTCGCCACCAACACCATGGCACTTTGTTCTCCGGTGCGCCAACCACATTGGCCATATGGCAGCCATCATATTAACAAAATACACCAACAAGAATCTGAGGAAACAACGGGCCAGATTTAACAGACCAATAGAAAACGATTTACGTGCAAAAAGGAACTTTTCATCGACCAAACTAGCAATGAAGAAGACGTTCAACTCACGGCCACCCCCGCGCCAACCCCACCCGACCTGCTCCCACGCCTACAATGCTGTCTGGTTCGCAACGGACCACACGTTCCTCGAATCGAACGGTCGGGAGCGTTAGATAGCCTTGGGCAGGCCCCTGCATTGCTGCAGTATGGGTAGCCATGCTGTGACGTCTCATATGTCATTAAGGGCGCGTTCGGCCGGCGGGGAATCTAAGGTGCGTTCGGCCAAGAGAAAATTATTCAACGAATAATTATCTCTCGGATAATCATCCGCAGAGGTTCTCCATCTAGACTCGGCCGGTCCGGAAATTATCCCCCAGATTAGTCTCTCATACGCCATTCACAGCTACCGGTCATGGCTATGCATAGCGAAACAAGATTATCAGCCTTGACCATGCTCTGAATATTTTCCGCGACTCTCCTTCGCTACGGAAATTATCTGGGATAGTTTTCCGTGACGACAGTGCCGAACACCATTCCGGAAAATTTTCCAACATCCCGGATAGTTCTCCGAGATTATTTGCCGGCCGAACGCACCCCTAATAATCTCTCGGGGGGGGGGGGGGGAAATTATCCGGAATGTTCGAAAGATTCCGGAATGGCGTTCGGCACTGCTGGCACAAAAAGTTATCTTAGCTAATCTTCGCAGCGCGCGACAATCCCGGAGAATTGCAGAGCATGGTCAAGACGGAGGATCTGTTTTCGTTACGCATAGCTATCACCATTGGCTGTGGATGGCACATGGGAGACTAAACTGAAAGATAATTTTTCGACCGTTATGTCACCTATACTACGGCCACGTGAAAACGCTGTTTTGTGTGGGATTGGTTAAACATAAATATTTTCGTTAACCAATATTAGACAGATGGGAAAACCCATTCGCCAGTGATTTACCCCAGAGAACGCTAGCCAGAAGTGCTTAAAAGCAGTCTGTGTAAAAGACCACAGCATACAGAAACAACAGCATAGAGTGGGATGAGAAAAAACGGCCCAGACGGGTTTGTAGCACCCTGGGACGCATATTAAGAAACTGGACTGCACATCCTGCAGCCTTAGGAGGGGAGTTGCCTGGGTGGATGCAGGTTTGGCTTGTTCTAATGGGGGCAGCGAGAGGTAAACCCCGGGAGGCGTAAATGCAGAACGCACCATTTCAGTTCAACATCGCAAAACTCTGCCAGTTTTAGCACGAATCGGTACTAAGCACGGTTACTCTCTTAGAATTCGTACTAACTAGTCTCGAGGACTTGTTGGGTTTTCTCAAGTAGCCCTGACCTTCTGGAGGGGCTAAACGTTGACCAAAGTTGTCGACAGCCTCGTGCTCCGAGCCTATGGCACCGATTGACATGAAACCTTTACCATTCGATGTCGCTTGGCCGAAAACCTGACTTTTAAAGAATATGGTGACCTTGAATCAGGTCAAAAATCACCAAAAAACGGCCGAAACCATTAAAATGTATTGTCGATAACCCCATGATCCGGTCCTATGACGCTGTTCACCACCAAACGTTCACCAATGGAGGAGCCATAGTCGATATCTTATTTTCCCAGGACATGGCGACCTTGGGTCAGGTCAAATGTCACAAAAACCGGCCAAGACCATCAAAGTCGGCTCAAAATTATCCATGTTCCGAGCCTATGCCACCTATCGGCACGAAACTTTCGCCAATAAATGCGTCATAGTCGAGACCTACTTTACCAGACACAGTGGCCTTGGGTCACGTCAAAGGCCACCACAAATACAAAAAAAAAACAAAGAAATGGACGGCGGGTTCGGCGTCAGTTGGACTGCATACCCCCAGCCGGAGCGGGGGCGCAGCGAGTCCTCAAGTAAGAGCGGTGGCGCCTGAACACCCGGCCATCCATCAAGCGGACCAAACAGCTTTGGCCCGCGACCGAGCCCACCACCGCCAGCATCCATCTTTGCTCCAACTGGGGAATGGCTGTTGCGTATACTTCCTCGCCCACCCGAAACTGTCGGTTATAGGCACCCCGGCCCGGGCGATCCTTCCACACCTGCTGGTGGCGCTCTGTATTCGCGGTGAGGTCTGGGTGCACCAGGTCCATCGTGCCCCGCATCGGGCGACC